TATATTTTTTCTTCGTTATTCGAAGAAAAGCTTTTGAGCAAAGGACTTAGACAAAGTTATGACTTGGGTATTAATACTCATAGTCATTGTAGTCGTAATATAGGGGGTGTGCTATTAATGCTTTTTTCTATTTCCTTGTTTTCCTTTCTTTATTTGGACTATGTTTTGTAAGAGGAAGTAGCAGGTAATGTTTAGATGACGTGGTAATGTTTAGATGACGTGGCGACAGGTGAGTGGGCGATGAAATTTTGGAATAGCCCTGCTCGTCGAAAGCAGCTCCGTTTACTATGAAAATGTGACATCGTATACGGTAAAACCTCGATAAACTAATAACCTCGTTCAAATAATAATTTGTTTCGACCCCGACTCAGTAAACACCTACTAAATTATTAGTTCGATTATTTAACATTTTGTTAAATTAATAGATTTTTACTAGTCATGATTGTATTAATTTACAAAGGTTTAATGTATGTTGGTAATTTTTTTCCAATATTTTATTGATTTTTGATTTTTGATTTTTGATTTTTTACTCAGCATTCTACTTCACAAGAACTAGATATGGAAAATGGTCTTGGTCCCAAATTTAATTGATCAAAACAAACATTAGCCCTTTTGTTTTAATTTAATTTAGATATAGAAATCATGAGTTACTTTAATTTTTATAAGTTGTTGAAGTGTTTGAATTGTTTTTTTAATTTATTTCACACGGACAAAAATTCCAGCCCTTATCGCAGCATTTCGATACGTTCTGGCAGAGTGCTCGTTGACTGATATAGGCTTTACATGAGTGCCTTTTACATGGTCGAACAAATGGCAAAGCTCTTTTACAGTACGCTGTCGGCTGGACAGAGAGCAAAGAGGATATCGAGAAGGTGATTTCAGAGTATTTTACATCTATCTTCCAATCAACAAATCCGGAAGGGAGTGTTTTACATCTATCTTCCAATCAACAAATCCGGAAGGGAGTGTGATCGATAGAGTCTTGGAGCATATCGAACCTAGGATTTCAAGCATCGCCAGTCAGTCTCTCTCCCTTCCCTTTACAGCGGACGAGCTAACCCGAGCTATCTCTCAAATGTCTCCTACCAAATCCCCGGGTCCTGATGGCTTTCCTGTTTTATTTTACACTAAATACTGGGATATTCTTGGTTCTAATGTTCTTGAGCGCGTACTTGATTTTCTTAATCACAAGAAACTTCCCAGTAAACTCAAGTTCGCATTCATTGTTCTTATCCCTAAAGTGAAGTGCCTAGAAAAAATCACAGAGTATCGGCCCATTAGTTTGTGTAATGTTATTTATAAATTCGGCTCGAAAGTTATAACTAATAGGATTAAACTTTTCTTAAATGATATTATCTCGCCTACCCAATCTGCCTTTGTTCCTAAACGCTTACCGATAGTGTTCTCGTTGCTTATGAAATCAATCATTTCATTAAGTCAAATTCTAGTAAGCGAAGTAATTATATGGCTGCAAATTTGGACATTAGTAAGGCGTATGATCGAATTGAATGGTCTTTCTTACAGAAAATTCTATGTAGACTTGGTTTCCATGTTGAGTTGATTGCCTTGATCATGTTATGTGTTTCTTCGGTATCTTACTCTTTTCTTTTTAATGGTTATCAGTTTGGCTCGCTTTGCCCGTCACTGGGGCTCAGGCAAGGAGATTCTCTATCACCATACTTATTCATATGCTGTACGAAAGCTCTCTTGGCTATGATTCACAGTGCTGTAGCGAGGGGAGATCTTCAAGGGATTAAGATTGCTCGTGAGGCTCCGAAGATTTCATGTCTTTGCTTTGCCGATGATACACTAGTGTTCTACCGAGCCTTTGAGACGAACGCACTTACCCTTCGCCAGATCCTGAATGACAACGCTCTTGCCTCAGGTCAAGTCATCAACCTGGACAAGTCCACCATGACATTTTACCCGAACACCTCTTTGGATGTTAGAACCATCATTCGTTCCACTTTAGGTTTTCATGTTGTGGACCGCCACGATAAATACTTGAGGATGCCAGTGAGAATTGGACAATCTCGTAAAGCAATTTTCAGTTTTTTTGAGGGATAGAGTGTGGGCCCGAATCAAAGGTTGGGGGGAGAAGCAACTCTCTAAAGCAGGCAAGGAGGTACTTATAAAGGCCGTTCTCCAAGCTATTCCGTCAAACATTATGAGCTGCTTCAGCTTACCCCTTGGATTAATTAGAGAAATTGAATCGGCCATCCAGAGATTTTGGTGGGGGGGATGGAACGTCACGATTGATGGCACGGATGTCGTGGGCTTATTTGTGCAAATCCAAGGAAAACGGGGGCATGGGCTTTCGAGACTTACGAAGCTTTAATCTTGCCATGCTTGCAAAGCAAACTTGGCGAATTCTCACAAATCCAAATCTCTTTCTTTCCAATCTTTTTAGAGCTCGTTATTTTCCTTCCGTGAATCTCTGGTCCGCTTCTGTTGGTTCACGCCCCTCGGCGACTTGGCTTAGGATTATTTCTACCTCTTTTCGCTCTTGTTGATTTTCATTTGTTAAGAGAAATTGTAATAACTTGGCTCATGTGCTTGACAGTGAGTTGTTTAAGCTAGCTGGTTTGTATGGACCCTCTCTACCTCCTGATATGGAGACTTTTAATGAGTAATAAAATATCACATTTCTTCACAAAAAAAATAAAAAAATGACATGACATCATTCTAATCATAAAATTAATTTTCTCTTGATATGTTTTTTTTTTAAAGTATTCTTATAAATATAAAAGACTACTTTAGCTTCAAATAATGTTTTGTAGCTTAATGTAATATTTAATTATTTTACAAAAACAATGATTTTAATAGAATATTATAGACAAAATGCTTATGGATTTTTTTTAACTTTGTTAATCATTCATGTAAAAAACAAGAGAATTCAAAATTGTAGTCAAAGTTATTCGAATTTTAGTGGTTGATCTACAGTTCCAGAGCCTGGAATGATAATATGGTGGGCTTAAAAATGACGGAGTTTAGGGAGTGCACCCTCCCTCAAAACTAACACAAAATAAATAATTTTTGGTAGATCTCAAATACAAATGAATTTCTAGTTACTCAAAATTCACTTCATAACGTCCATTGCTCTGGTGCAAGTAGTAATTTTCTATATTGTTTCAAACTAAAATGTAATGTGTTTGTCATGTGCTCATTATTATAATGAGATTTGAATCGCGAAGAAGCTCACTTTTGCGATATATCAACTGGGCCAAAATGCAAGACTTGCGATGAAAACGGACCTCTCACGACGATTTCTCAGGTATTGCGACGAACAAAACTCGTCGCCAAATCGAGCGAGGATAGTCGCCAATTGCCATGTCGCAAAGCCAGTAAAATACATTTGCGACGTAAGGTTTTGTGACGAATTCTAAAAATCATCGCCAATTTCGTATTTTTGGATTTTTTTTTTTATTACTCGCGAGGGATTGCATTATTTTGGCGCAAATTACTCGCGATGAATACACAATAAGTTGCAAACATTTAGCGGCAATAATTGGTTTTGTCGCAAACTATATCATCGTTTGGAATATTTTCGTCACAACTGCTTTGAATATTTTGGTGACTAAAAAACATTTTCGTCGCAAGCCACTCGTCAATGTTGCGACGATTTTGTAATGTGATTTGTCCCAAGTGTCGATTATGTTTGCGACGAGTGTGAGTAAGTCTGAAAGTTTTTAGTTTTTTAATATTAAATTTGGTTTAGTTTTATTATTTTCAATTAGCAAATTTAACCTGTACTATCAGCTATTGTACACAAAAATAAAACACTATCATATCAAAAATATTAAAACCACATTTACGGATTAATAATGTCAAAGTAGCACACAAACATCAATTCAAAAAATACATAAAAAACTTTGTTGCACGACCTTTTAATAGGTAGAATATATCCACAATAAAGGGATTCCCGTTACAACTTATTTATTCGTAAATCATGCAACCAAGGAAGTAATAAATACACACATACAAGAATATAAGATCAAACAAAAAATGATTATACAAACCCAATCAATAGTATATCAAAATCTCAAATAACTCGATTATCTAGTGTATTCCATTTTTTTCGCGCACAGTGGTCGCCATAGTAGAGTTCAGTACGCACCATAAGCCACAACAGCTGCAGCAACTGCACCCACCACTGCAACAGTAGTGATAACGTGGCGTCGCTCAACATTCCCTATCCACGAAAAGAGTCCTTTTTTAACTGGTTTCTTCTCAACATTCTCGTCTCTGCAGCATGAAAATCCAGTAACACCTCTGCAACACCCTCCACCATTACTTGCCGAAGCAGCAACAATCTCTTCGGGTTGTTTCTCGCTGCTCTTCACATTTGTTCCATTAGTATGATTCGGTTCCTCAACTCTTTTCACATTAGCACCCATTTGGCCCCTGTATATAATCATGATATGCATAAAATATTCATTTTTCATCTATGTAGCACATACACGGAAACATGAAAACGGGCATGTCGAAACGGCATGTTGGAAAAATGGGGATACATGAACTAAGGGGAAACATATAAATTTTAAAAGTATATGGGTATATTTATAAATATGCTATATAAACAAATATAAGTTTTTGTTTATATATAATTTTTATTTTATATTTCAATACAAATATATTCAAAATTAAAATTATTATAATCTATCATTTTGTAGTTGATCAATAAATCATGTAATTGATTAGGGAAGTAACACAAATATCTCAAAATTTACTATTCAAATACGTTTCCAATTTTGCAGAAATTGTGAAATGGTCCATAAGGTGTCCGGCAACTCTGTCCTTTAGTTTTGTACACAAAACGTGTCCGAAACAGAAACATTAAAAAGTTGAATTTTCCGTACTATATACCTTCTCATTGTTGCGAAACAATAATTAGATATTAAGAAAAGGAAGATGAAGAAAGAAAGCACACCTCCAAATCCGATCAATGGCTTCCCCCCGCCCAATTTGTTTATCAAGCAATTCATGAATGTCGCCAGGTGTAACATACCCGTACCTTAAAAAAAGAGCATGAATCATTTTATGATGTATGTGGACACACATGCAACAAAATAATTTTTGGAGTGATAACACCTCTTTTTACATTGTTAATCAGGCAAAACAAATGTTATGAATTACTAATAAGGTGGCATTAACTCTATAGAGTGACAATAAAATGTGATTTTCAGTGACGCAGAGCGAAAGCACGGTGAAGAACTAATTGGAATGAATTAATCCTAAATAACAAAATAACATTAGAACTCCACCGAAAATTCTGAAATCCACTAGAAAATAGAGAAAACTCTAAATATTTTATTAAAATTGGAAAATTCTTTCAAAATAAAGTCTGAAGGCAGCTATTTATACTAATGAAACTGAAAACCCTAATTAAACTAGGAAAATAATAAAAATTACCAAAAATCTCAAAAATGAGTTAGAGCGTGATTCTAGTAGATCTCGTAATTTTGGAAACAACCCAATCTGCGGAATCCTAATCCGATTTTTCTATGATTTGAATCCAAAACTTGCCTAAAATGGTAAAAACAAACTTTTAGGAGTTTAAACGACAATGGATTACTGAAATCTGACGTGATTCACAAGCTTTGCTCATGAGTTTTGTTTCATGCATAACTTATTTCGATATTTTCACCAATGTCCATTAATAACCCTTCTCCGAATTAAATATGTATTTTGCAATTCTTATCCAGTTTGATGTTCATTATCAGTCGTCACTTCTATGTATAATTATATAGTGACATAAAAAATTATTAAGTGACAACAAAATGAGCAATTACTGACATCATACAAAATGTTGTCACTTTTTAGTAACAACTTTTGATATTGTTTCAAATAGGGATGACTCATGGTTCTGGTGCGCCAAAGCGGCGTTTATCGTCGTTCCAGACAATAAATCGGCGATTTCAGCTCTTAAGCCGGAACTTTGTCACTCATGAATTTCACATTTAGCCAAAAATAAGTCTTGTACTAATAGTTGAAACAAAATAAAACACAAAGCACAGAAAAGTGTAGTCCTTACCAGTTACCAGCAATTTTTCCATGAGGAGTTGCACTAAAGATGATCACATTGCCAGCATACTTGTGCCCTCCTACATGTGAGCAAGCAGTCACAGATATATGCTTCTTCAAATCTTTGGATTCAATCTCTTCCTTAAACTTCTCAATCAAAATCGGGCCACAAACCCCACATCTTCGGTCTCGATTGTTATGACAACAGACAAATACGTATGAGCCACTCAATTTTTCGATCTTTCCAGACAACTTAGCCTTTTCATTTACAAGCACATCCTCAACAAAGCTATCGACTTCGGACTCTATTAAGCCCCTTCAGTAAACCAAAACAAAGACGCACGATTTCCAACCAATTAAAATAAAGGCAATATCAATAATTTAATAATGAATAAACAGTAGAACCTCGATAAATTAATACTCGATAAACTAATAATTTTGCTTAAGTAATAATTTCTTACGGTCCCGACTCGATAAAAACATACTAAATTATTAGATCGATAATTTAATATTTCGCTAAATTATAGAATTTTGTCAGTCGGGACTGTATTAATTTATAGATGTTTAGCTGCATGTATATATTCCTCAAGTATGTTCATACCTGTATAGAATCATTTCGGGAAAAATCAGTACGTCTCCATCGGACAACTTCCCATTGTCGCCTGCCTCGCATATGGTCAAACGAGTCTACAAATTCCCAAATCATCAAATTTAAAATGTATATTTATGTTTTCTGATATATTTCCAAGAAATTAAATACACCAAAAAATTAAATACCAGAAAGACAAAATGCAAGCACACGCGCGAGATGCAAAACTATATATTTTTGGGTTAAGTGCACTTAGCCCCCTAAACTTTAGCCGTTTTTTACGTTGCCCCCCAAAACTATATTTTTTTTCTTTTTTTTTTTTTTTTTCTTTTTACCAAAAACCTTGTGGATTGGCGAATTTGCCCATCCATTCTCACCTATGAGTCGCACATGGGCAATTCCGGTAGCTTTTGGTCAAAAATGGACTTTTTTAGTTATCAGTGTAACAAATTAGTAAATTCAGGTATAATCGTACAATTTTGTTTTTTGGGGGTAAAGTGCACTTAACCCATATATATATATATATATATATATATATATATATATATATATATATATATATATATATATATATATATATATATATATAAATTGTGCTTTCACTAAGTATGTATTGACTTTATATCATGTTTTTACGAATTATGTATAAATGATAAATCGATGCAGATCGAGTAACCTAGGTTTTCTTGTTGACTATCTGTTATGCATAAATATAGTAATACAGGGGTTGATAAACACAAGTTTCACTTCTTCCTCAATGTGTAGTTGATAGGAAAACAAATATGCATGGTGTATGGTGCGCTCGTACCGACTACTTTCCACAACATTTAAAGACAGTGAGAATATAAACAACTAAAATAATATATTCAATTCTGCTATTAATATTTTTTTTTTAGTACGGACCTTGAGTTTAATGTCGTCTTTACGAGCTTTTAGGGCAGAGGCAAGAAGCTTAGGGAGAGGATCGGCATCAGATTCCTCGACGCGTGTAGGCCACAACTCATGAGATTTGTAGCAAAGGAACAAGTGTCGTTCGTACTGTTCAACACTTCCGGCAAGTTTGCTTTCGTACATGTCACTTCTTTCGAACCCGTAATTGCCGCTCTCATCTACTACGATGGTGCTGGTGGCCATGGTGGAGGACGACGGAGATATGAAGCACCTGGTCGGCCGGAAGATATTTTTCCAAGGTTTTCGTATATGGATTTTGGGGGGAATGAGTGGACCTATATATAAATATATACATATATGTATATATATTGTTTTTATATAGGCATATGCATACACATATTTGTATGAATGGAGGCAGTAGATCCGGCCAGGTACGGAATGAAGAACATCGTCTCGTAAAAAAATAAAAATGCAAGACGAGTCAACGACACGATATAAACTCATCACACCACGTTACGTTGTTTGGGTTGACAATATATTAAAAGAGAAGCAATACGTTTTTTGATCTCATCATCGATCTCATTATAATATTTCAATTTGCAAATTTTAATTTTATATGATTCATCTACAGAGGTAGTTTGAATATGTTTTTATTTTATAACTAGTTATCATCAATCAACCCTCAATATTATATAGATTAAAGGAGTAAACTAATCGAGCCAAGTTGAGTGCATGTTGATTATTTCAAGTAATTACTTGAATAGTTTTCGAACTTTCAAAGTTATGTTTCCAGTCGACCTCGAATAAGATTTAATCGGATTGAATACTAACCGAGCTCCAATAACTTTCTTACTGAGGTCTAACTTGAGTCGAACTTTATGGCTCCGGTTAGTTCAAGAAAAATGATAAGTAAAAAGGTGAAATTATTAGGTAAATTGATTTTCATGTTTGGTTAGCTTGCAAGTAAAGTACTAGGTAATGTAATTAAGAGGAAAAAATGGAAGAAAAAAATTATACTAAAACTAGGAAAATACATTAATTTCCTCAAAAAAATTGAGAAAAATGCCATGTAATTCTCTTCTTCTCTCTTCTCTTCTCTCTAGCCTGCTTGTCTCTCTCTCCTCTCTCCTCTTTTCCTTTCTTCTCTCCTCTTCATATTCTCTCTCACACACATCATAACACTAAATTATTAAATAAGATTAATATTCACAATTCTTTTTTCTTTTGTTTTAACATAACAATTGTGTTTTCTTTTCTTTCGTTTTTACGTCTTTGATAGAAAATTATATTACTTCATTTAATAATTCATTGTTATTTTCACATTTTTTTCCTAGAAACCAAACAAAAGTAAGAAAAATAATTTTCACAGATCATTTTCATCACCATTTTATTTAGGAACCAAACACAAGTGGAATTTCAAAAGTCCTTGATTTCCTTTTCCTTTAGATTATTTTCATTTTCCTTATTTTAAAATCCATGAACCAATCAGAGCCTATAGTTTATCGAGCGCAAATATGTGTTTCAAACTGGATTCGTTATGTTTACAAATTAAATTCAAATGAAAGTTTTAACAACAATCTTGAATTATATACATCGAATAGTTTTGATTAAACTTTATATTGTGTGAATCATCTGTCATTATGACTTCAAAATGGTTCTCCTAAAATCAAATTTGGTCAGTTATAACATAATTCCCTTTGTTTTTTCTTCATTGACATAATTAAGTTATGATTTCAATATAATTTATTCTCGTTATTTAGCTGAAGACCAAGTTTTCTGCAACATTGGGTTAGTTGACATATACTATTTTAGTTCTTTTATTTTTTTTAGAGTAGAGTTGACATATAACATTTGTGATATCATTTGACTTTTATTTCTAACATTCGAATTGCATACCATTACTTTGGGCTAAACTTATCTGGGGTTGTCTAGGGTCCGGGAGGGTTGTACTTCTCGGACCCTAATATATTTAATCTGGAGCGTATAAAATATTGAAATTTTAATCTCTCATCCATTGATTTTAATGTACGATCTAATACGACCTAGTACGACAGTTAAAATTTAAAAATTAATGTACGACCCCAGTAAAAACACATCCTACACTATCGTACATCCACCGTACTATACATAAATTACTAAATTAACCTTATTAACTCAACAATAAATTAAAATATTCATTAACAAAATAATCGTAAATAGACATCGAATAAAATCAGAACCCCACAAATGTTCTTCCCCAAACCAAAATATCTGCTACTATCGAGATTAAACAGAATCCCTAGTTCATGTTCTGCTTCATCGTCTCGCCAGCGGAAGAGCGCCGAGGGGGAGTTTGTGTTGAGGGAATTGCTTCAGTAATTCGTTCTTCCATTCTCTTTTAAGTTGTTTCTTGCTCACGGCTAGAGTTGAGAAATTTGAACAATTGCTTCGTTTTCCTTTTTTTAAATGGTCTGTTTCTTGTTGCTAGAATCGAGAATTTGGATTTTCTTCGTTAAGCAGGGAATTCGCAAATTGTTTTATGTTTCCAATATTCGGCAACACGACAATTGACATGGGGCAGGGTCTCTGTATGTTTGGTTACATGTATAAACTACCACAATTCGAGAGTTACAGCCAAAAAGAGAATCAATACGTGGCGAAAACAGTAAGTGGTTGCTATTGTTGTGATGACGAAGCATAATCGAAGCATAATCGAGGAGAGAGATATGTTTGGAAGGCCAACTTGTTGTTGGTTTCAGAGGTCTTCGTTCTATTCGGTTGCCATGGAGACTATAAAATCGAGGAATTTTGTGCATCCAGATATGGCTGATGATGGTCCAACATGCAATAGTGTCTCAAATATGAAGTTTCAGGCTTAAGATGCTATAAGCTTTCGGATGATTCTTAACAAGAATATATGAAATATTTTTTTTGTGCTTTGAGGAAATCTCTAGCTTACAAGAAAACAATGTATATATATTAAGTATGAAGCAAACCTCAATGATCCTATTCTTTCAATGTTTTGGTGATACAAGTTCGAAACGTTGTTCTTAAAATTAAAAAAGTACACTTGTTGACCCTTGCGGCGATTTGTTTTTTTCCTTCCTTGTTATTTAGTTATTTTATAAGCATTTATTATTGAACTTGTTGTTTCTTGTGCATTGACAAGTGATATCTATGGAGTTTTAATTTGAAGCAATACTTTGAGTTTGTAGCAAGACTCTGAGTTTGTCTTAAGGATTTTATTTTACATGTTTTGAATACTTCTATAGTTATTCGTATTTCATCTTGTATGTAAACTATACATGTTTTATAATTGTTGTTGCGATTTAGAGCTTATTCAATATTTATAATATTGAAAAAATATGTAGGAATATAGATTTGGTTCATTTGCATTAGTGGACAGAGAGTTTCAATTCTTAATAAATTGATTATTGTGAGATAATTTTTAATCCATATTGAGGATACTTTGTGTTTTGATTTCAATGATGGATTATGGGTCTAGCCAGAAGTAAACAAGCCGTAAAATGTTAGAAATCAAAACTGATGAGATTGGTTTCAACTAACAGGACCCAAATTCTTATGTTTTCAAACACATAATTTTTCATTAAAGATCTGAACTTCACTCTCTCAAATACAATAATCCAAAGCTTCACGACCATAATTCCTTGAGGCCATTACCAATTTACATATACTTAACGGGGGGAAAAAAACAACAACATTGCAGTTCTAAATTTGGACAGCAAATCGAGTACATATATAAGCCATTCACTGCCAATGACCACTACGCAGTATAAATCTTGTAACACCTGTAAGTCATTTGTTGTTTATATCCAGTGGTGGCAACAGTGGCAGTGCATGCGCTAACAAACTCCCCAGGTCCATCTTCAACTTTAAAATAATCAACACATCTTCAACTTGAGAATAATCGAATTATGCTGCAAGAAATCTGGAGGATTCCCCTAAAAGAAATTCAAATTTGAACAAGATTGGCAGAATGTGGTCTCTACGGGTGTAACAACTTCGGCCACAAATTCGACCTTGATCCAGTCTGTATTTCCAAAAGTTGTAGACCCTTCTCCTGAATTTCTTAGCATATTTACACTTCACATTTGGAGTTGAGACGAAAGAGTTATGTTGTCTTACGTAGAGGTGTCTAAGTTGTTCGAAAATTGTCGAAATAACTTTGTTTTGCACGTAACTTCGTTTGCTCCTATATCGAAATATGACAATAATGAGCACATTTAAGCACAAAAAAAGGACAATATATCAAGAGTGAAAATTATAACATTCTACATTATGATCACCAGACTTACTGATTCCTCGGGGGCATAATTAACAATTTTGTGGATACTCGGTGCCATAAGTTGATATCTAACTCCCATTTAGATACCAGTGAGGATGGTAACAGCAATACATTTAATATACGTGCAACTCATTGAGCTCTGCAAAGGAAATAAAGCAAATAGAAAAAAAATTGATCTTACCCAAACAAATCATAGCAACATTACGATCTTTATCAAAACAAATGCCCAGCCATAAAAAACAAAAACAGGATCTACCATTAAATATTTGAATCGGGACAAATGGTATACCACATTGTGCAAACTAATTGAACAAGAAAAGCAAACACCTAATATTCCACAATCAAACTAAAAGGCCATCCTGTTCAGGGCTTTTAAGAAGTTCATCGGTACGTAAGTATATATGCCTAAGTATATATGCAGGAGATCAAATTAAAGAACAGATAAAAAACAGTTCAAAGCAATGCAATCAAAACAAAGAGGGGAAAAAAGAATATTGAACCCGACTTTGATTAATTCACCAAACCATGAATTTCTGGAAAACACGAGGTCAGAAATTAAGTCTTACACAAAATTATAGCAAACAAATTGACATATACGAACAGAAGTATATAACGAAAAGTACTTGATACTAAAAAACGAACATAAGTAAAAGGGGATAATTGCAGAATCCAAAGGAAGATCCGATATAAGGGTACCTTTATGAGGATCACAATATAGGTTCACAATTAGCCGAAGAAGAGATGTTGAGAGACTCTCAATCGTCAGTCGGAAGAACGGTGGAAGAGCGAGATGAACGCATGTATGAACGAGATATGAACGACGGATTTTATGATAATGATTATTGATATGTGATCGAATTTAGTTATTAATTATTAATTATTAATCTGTAATTAAGTTTTAGTTTTAAGGGTGTTTATGTAATTTTGCTGAAAAG